TCCTGCAAATACATTAGAATTTACAAAAGGAATTTCACTACTAATTGCCTACTTTGCGTACTTTTCTACTACCATTTTCGCACCAAGAGATTTCATTCCTCCCCTTTTCTCCGTTCTTCGTAAATGCAACCTTTTGTAAGGGAGTGTCAAACCGCAGCTGTCAATAATTATCTAACCTTGTATTATTGAATCATGGACGGTAGAAGAAGCTTTGTCGATCGTTTCTGTTGCTTTTTCGTTTTATGGCCAACCTAGTGCAAAGCCGTTTTCCTTCAAAAACATATGTAGTGGTTGCAAAATACAATTTGGAAGACCAACAGAAGCAAGTTAAAAAGCTTGTTCATAGAGAAACAATTTTTTTCCAAACTGCCAACTACCAATCTGCGAAAATGAAGAAATGGGTATGAATACCCCTATTGTAGTTTCTTAAGGGATGTATCCTTTCTCGAAATCTCAGAAGTGACAGACACTTAGGCAGCAATTGTATCTTGCGTCTTAACTGTCTTCTCAAGCACGGCAAAATAATTGAGGCGCTGCCATTTTAATCCGATTGGACGTGGGGTGTTATTTGAGTAAAACTTCCTAGCCAAGTTTTGAATACAAAAATAATACCTCATACATACGTACATACATATGTCATCTATATAGACCAAAACGATAGAATATAGATTAATCTATTTATAAACTTATCTAAAATATGATTCATGTTTCTCTTTTCATTTACAGATTCATCGAACTAATGGATGCTAAAAATATGCCGATCTGGGCAATATCAACTGGCAATGAGCCACTTAACGGTATTGCGTTTTTCTTCTTCGTTCACTTTATGAGTCTTGGATGGGTACCAAGGAATCAGGTATGTATTTACTGCGTACTCTCTCACGCATTTTTAGTAGTTTGTAATTTATGCATCTATATTAGGGTGGTTTTTAAAAATCAAATGAACAACTTTTTGCAGTCTCACCCCATCAATCGGTAATACCACGGTCACATATATCACATATAAATTTTGGTCCCCCGATTCAGATTCCTCTATAGAGACAGTAAAAATTAAATTAACGTTTTTTTGTCTAATACCCAAAATCGATACTCCTATAGTCGAAGATATCACATATAAATTTTGGTCCTGATTGTAGTCTTTTAAGGCGTGGCGCAAATGGATTCAAGACCACGTGCTCTATGGAGACTCAAAAAATTAAAAATATTTTTTTTCAGTTAATGCCCAAAATCGATGCTACTAAAGTCGAAGATATCACATGTAAATTTTGGTCCCGTTTGGAGTCGGTTAAGACGTCTTCATAGAGGAATCTGAACTTTGCCCCTTGTGCGACACGCCTCCTCGGGATCAAAATTTATATTTGATATCTTCGACTTTAGTAGCATCGATGTAGGGGTTGAGGCTTAGGAAATCTGATGTAAAAATTTGCTTCCTACTTTTAAGGACAACCCTAATGCATATGTATCTACGTATTTATATATACCCAATAAACATTGGGCTTGGATAACAGTTCGAAAAAGATTGGAAAACAAATTTTTTTTTTTAGAGTCTCATAATAACGTATGTGGCATAGGGCCAACAAAACGGAACCTTCGTTATCCAAGGTATTTTCGCTTCGTTATGAATTTGAAATCCAGCCCATTATCGAATTGAAATTATAATGAGAGAGAGTGATTGTCTCATATTTCCCTTCGAGAATGAGCTGGATTTCACTTTCTCTCTTGTACCATTTTTTTCGAACCTATATCGAGTGTATTTCCAATATAATATGAGCATTAGAAAATTAAGGTTGGTTATGAGTTCGTTTTTAGTTCGATGTGCATATTGGATATCGAAGGTAATTTTCGAACGTTCGCCACAATTTTTATTGGGTACCTATATACTTTCACTTTTACACACAAATGTTAAAAACAAAATGTGCTCAAAAATATATTTCCAGGCTGTTTGGTTGAATGATTTCCTTGGACCCACTATTCGCAAATCGAAATTCAAAGACATTTTAATATTTGGAAATGACGATCAACGTTATTCTTTCCCAGCTTGGTTTAAAGACGTAAGTTAAAGGTTTTAAAGATTAAGTACTCCCTAAAATAGTGAAAATAGTTCCTATATTATTAATAATAATAATATTAGATTGGCGCTTACACATCCGTTAGTGTTTGGCCGAGCTTCTCCTCCGATTTGTAGCGTGTGCCTTGACGTTGCCACACAAAGCGGAGGGACCTACAGTTTTACGCCGACTCCGAACGGCGATTGTATTTTTTTTTTTATGAGAAGCTGTTTTTCATGGCAGAAATACACTCGGAAAAGAAAAAAACCTTTTTCCATATTTTTTGGGATGTTGCTTTGACCAGGGCTTGAACACAGGTGCTGATGTATGAAAGCACACACTGCTTACCACTACACCACAGCGGCCGATTAAAGCGGCTATATTAAACTATGATATATGAACAATACTTTTTTTTGCTGCCCAGCTTAGGCATTGGCTCGATTGGATTGTATTTGATGGAGAGTTTAAAAAATATACAGGAATAGGTGGACGGGAGGGAGCATTACTTCTGGGCAAAGTTTCAACGTTTCTCAGGATCCTTATTAATCTGGCATTTTAAACGAAATGTTGAACGTAATATTGATGTATCTATGGGAATTGCGCAATTTATGCGCTATTTAGCTGTATAAAAAATGCAAAAGGACTCAAAATTAAAATAAAACTACTGTGAAATTTATGTAAACATCCAATTTAAAAACAATTTATGTTTTCATCAGTTAAATGTGTTTCAAATGCATATACAAATAAACATATTGCACAAAAGCTTATACTTCTATTTCACAGCAAAGCTACACTTTTTCCAAGTAAAATCGCAAAGAAGCAACACTGTGCCACTGCTAAGGGAGCGGTGCGAGAGAGACAACTGTCAGTTTATCGAACCTTGTATTATTGAATCATGTTTACCGCCTAACCTTTAAAAATATTCAATAATCGCAAACAACCGTCGTTACATATAAACAGTTGTGGTCAAGATTACACAACGCCCGCAATTTTTAATATTCACATTGTTTTACTCACACATTTTTCCGTACATTTTTTATAAAAATTTAACATAAACTACGTATGTTTAAACCTTTATGCGAAATTCAACAAATTTCCATTGTCATCAAAATTTTAATATTCCACAGAATTTTTTGAACAAAGTATTTTAGACATGCAATTTTTCAGCCTATTCAATACATATAAAAAGGATTCTTTACATTAGCCTGGTCAAGTTAGACATTGAAGGTAGCAATATCTCGCATAAAACTGAAAATTGTTACGTATGTACGTTGGGAACACGTTATAAATGAAATGTGAAAAGATCCATCGATTCCACATCTGCAAAAGAAAGAAATATTCAAGGTAAAAAGTCACATACATTTTTTTTGTATTTTTCAGCCAAAAGCTAGGGTTTATCATCAAAAAATGTTAGACAAAAGTACATCTAGACCAGAGATGGGCGTTTTGGAATGAATTATTATTCAAGTAAAAAATAAAATTTTATTCATAAATTTTTTAATTTTGAATGATGAATAAATTTTTATTATTCATTCAAGCACTTTCGGATGATGAATAAATTTTTATTAACGATAATCTGCAATTTTTATATGAGAATTGAAGTCGGTTTGGTTTTTTGCTTAAAAATTATTTGTTGCAATCTTAACTTGTCTTTTAAAGGTAGCATTTTCTTTTTTGTAATTCCATAAGTTCTGTTGCGAAATATTATACATACATATACTCCATATTAAAACACACCCTGTGGGTCCGCCACTGACTGACACGCAGTTTAACCCCCAAACTTGGATAAAACTGTGATTGTTCAATAAACTTGGACGAAATATTCCCTCTTTTTTATAATTTTTTTGGGTATTTATTTACCTTAAATGGTAGTCAGCCCAGGCTTGATAGTATTCGGTCTTCAGTAATCCTAAACCAGTCCATTTTCCATTTGATTTCATCCAAGTGGGTGAACTCCATGTCAAAGCCATAATTTTTAAACTCTTTAAGCTAGAAACTTGTTTCAATCGCTGTAATTGTTCTACCTTGACTTCATCACGAGGATCCAATTTCGTAAAATTCGATAGTGCTGGATCATTTTGAGGTTCTTCGTTATAAGCCCAAGGTGCAAGATCAAAATCACAACCACCAATGGGAGTACGTAGTAGATTGAAACCAATACCGTCCTGATGGTAATAAGATCTGTGCATAGGTGGAGCACACATGTACATATGTATGTTACAAAAGAATATTCTTTAGTTTTACGAAACTTATTCATACTTATAAATGTGATCCTGCAAATTCGGTTCCAATAATCCCAGTAAATGGGATACAGTTCCCGTGAAAGCGCCACCAAAACCAGTAATTTTTTGGTATTCCACTGACCTATTCACTCGCAACTTTAGGGGACGATTTGAGGGAAATCTGGATGAGAAACCTACACATAATGAATATTTATGGCAATATGTATGCATTTAGTAGCTAGTAGAGTAAAATTAAAAATATCACAAGAAAATTGTTTACTAACGCTCGCCTGCATCAATCAAAAGCTGGGCAAACGTTTGACGACTGTCGACAACCACTGCAGAACTTTTAAGATCTTCACTACTGATGTTTAAGGAAGTTTTTGTATTGATGTTAGTGTCGTTTGTGTTGAATCGTAAATTACTAACGGCGAAACGGCGGCCTTCCTGCGAGCAGAGTAAAAAGTAAAAAAAACAAGTAAGAAAGTCTAAGTTCGGGCGGAGCCGAACATTAAATACCCGGCGCAAGTATTAAATATATGTTTTCCACCTTTCCGAAAGCTACCGCTACATGATAAGCCGGGGTGTATAAATTTTAAGTAAACTAGCGTCCTTAAATTTCGAAATATTGAAATTTCAAGCATTTCTGAAATTTACCGTTATATGAAAAGCGGCCGTAATTTTAGTCCGATTTCCACAATTTTCAATGGTTTTCTTTTATGTAGCGAGCACAATAACCATACCGAGTTTGGTAAAAATTGCTAGAACGGTTAGCGAGATACATATATATGATCATAAGTGGGCGGTGCCACGCCCATTTTCCACAATTTTATCATAAGCGTATTTCCTGGTAAA